TGTCCGCCCTGGCTGCGAGGCTCTCGCAGTCGGCCGCGGCCAGGTCCTACGGGGTGTTCTGCAAGGGGCTGACCAGGACCCTCCTCATCTTCTTCGACCTGGCCTGGAAGCTCCGCATCAACTTCCCCTACCTCTACATCGTCGCCTCCATGATGCTCAACGTGCGGCTGCAGGTGGGTCTGCTCTTCGGCAGTACGTTCCTGACACTCTATAAAGGGCCGGGAAAATCATTTCCTTCCATCAGTTTGCTGGGTTTTTTTTTAAAGTCAAGAACAATTTTAGCAGAGGTAGTTTTAAATAATAGTGTAATTGACGTTTAAATAATAGTGAAAATGACGTTTAAAATTTAATTTGTGTCTCTCCTTTCTTGAGCTTCTTTCTACAAAGACAGAACTCCCTAAAACAGCTTTGACCTAAAGAGATTAGGAGCTCTTACTCTTTGTAGGGTTCAGGTTTCATTTGTTTTGTGATTAAACATAAGCTTTACTTTTAACTTAACTGGCAACAGACACAGGCTGTGGACTGTCACAACAGTCTGTTCTAGCCAAAGACTGGACGCTTTCTTTTTCCTCATAAACCTAGCTATAATGAGAGTTTTGACATCTGGCTAGTGGCCAAGTGCTGAAACACAAGTCTGGTTGCAGTTTGTGACTTGTAACAGGTAAGCTGAAACGGGAGGAGGTCAAAATGTGGTGTCTCATATTTTCATATTTGGGATTCATCCTGCAGTTCTGAAGCTTGAAACTGAACCACACTGCCAGGAGTTGTACATGTAGCTTAGTAACCTTGGTGGCTAGAAATGTCTTGCCTTCGTTTGTTATCTGTGTGGGTGCATAACAGTGCCCTTGTAACAGCATCAGCGTGTTGTCTGACTGTAATACAGCCAGTACCCTCTAACTGCGGTGCAGCCAGTCTGACCAGTTCCCTTTGGGAAGCTCTCCATGATACATTGTCGACTTCCAGTGCTGTGTGTCTGATTTCAGCACGCACTTCTGTTTACTGAGGAAGCTTATTTTAATATTTGCCTTTAATGCTAAGCCTCTCAACAGTTACACTCTGTGTTTCTTTACTTAAAGATTGTTCTGTTACACAGTGAATCTTTCTAGCTGCTCGTTTGCTGACTCACTTTGATGCCAGCTACCAAAACAGAGTTTGTAGCAGCTTAAACTGAAACTACAGAAGAAAGTTTGTATTTGGGTACACTTCCTAACCCTTTGGATGTGCTCAGACAGCCTGTCAGAAGACTTGTTTGCCTGCACAGCTACATTGTTATTTGCTGCAGTTGGGTTATTCTTTTTATGTTAAAGGTTAGTTTTATTCTTCTATACACTAGGCACCAAGAAACTGGGATATTAGTGTAATAACTTTCTGCATTCATTCCTTCTAGGTCCATATTGAGATCCACTGACTTGTGATTTGGTGTGCTGTTTCCACTTCATGCTGCAACTGGAGTCATTCACACTCTTCTCCAAATTCATCCTGTTGTGAAATAGCAAAGCTCTAGGACTATGAAGAAAAAAGATTTAAACCAAACCCAAGCATATGACAGTGGCTCAGATCATCACAAGGCAGCAGCTCACCTGATACACACGCATTCCATGTTGAACCATTCTCAAAATCACAGTAGCAGTTTACAGGAATTACTTTACTCGAACTCCAGGAATTGTTCTCTCTGTGATACCAAACCTCTGCCTTCTGTCGGCAAGGAGATGCCTCCGAGTTTGAGTGAATCAGCAGGGAGGAACTCAAGTGCAGCTGTTCCTTGGAAGGATTCATTTCATCTACATTTTTCTTCTGGGAAAGACAATCTTGACAGGGTTTCTTACTGCATGAATAGTATTTCAGTAATGGGCTGGCTGGAGAAGGCTTGTAGTTTTGCTGGAGACTTTAGCTCGTCCTGTCCAGAAGACAACTTTGTACGTTTTGCACACTTCTGGCTGGGAGATTTGCAGTATAATAAAAACCTGCAGCTCCTGGAATTAGAAATGAGTAGTAGCAAAGAGAACAAACTGCAGCTTGCATTTCTTAAGGAGCTGGAGCTTGGTAGATTTCCTGATATCTATTCTATTCCAGCTGCCTCACTGAACGAATATACTATGGGACTCTCAAACAACCAGAACCCTTTTTTTCCCCTTTGTTACTTAAATCTTGTATTTTCAGAGCAAACACCTGGATATAAGCAAATGCTTTCAAATATACAATACATGACAAATAATTTTCACATCATACAGCTAGTAATTTCAGTGCTAGCTTTTGCACTAGCAGGTCTCTGCTTTGCAGTAGTGAAGGTAAAAAAGTACTAAGATTTTAATAATTACTGTTTTTAACACTAATAGAAACCTAATTAACTAAATAACAGACAAGGTTACAGTTCAGGTTTCTGTGACAAGCAGAAAGCTAAGTAAAAATTATGTTTGTGTAATTGCTAGAAAACTGGCTGTTGGAACAATAGGGACTTTTTTTGTCAGGAATATCTGCATCTGAGTGGAAAGAACTTCTTAATCTCAAAACTCTTTGTGACTTTTGCAGGTCTGCCCTTAAGGCTAGAACCCAATTTGCTTGTTTAGCATGGATCCTTTGTTTTCTTTAGGGTTTGTATGGCAGTGTTCTGGCTACTTTTCACAACCATTTCCAATGAAACTGTTTCTCATAGGAAATAATAATTTCCTGCTCTGAATCTAACAGTATAATGTATCAGTCCATAAAACACTTTGAACTGGAAAACTGTTGGAAAAATGGGTTTCAATGCAGTGTAGTTTTCAGCAGTGGAAGAGGTCTTTTCCAGGATGGTACTGCTCTAATTAAACAGTAGCTCATGAGCTTTATTGTGCTACAATAGACACTATACACAATTTTTCTAAAAGAATGTTTTCTTTCCTTGAAAAAGGGAATGTAATCACTGAAGCATAGTAATAATTTCTGGGCCTGTTGACTTTGGCTTTGGGACAGACTTCTGACAACAGGGTTTGGCAAAGAATGGAGCAAGAATGTTGGAATCAATAGAGCTGCTTGTGAATAAGAATTTACAGGAACAGGCTCCCATGGGCACTTAGGCAGAAAAACTCATTGTGCAGTAGGTCAAAGGTTGAACTGGGTGTCCAGGATTCTCAGTAAGGGAGTTGGTGTAGGTGGGATTAACATGCTCAAAGCAGCTTACCTGAAGAGGGAGGTATTGCTATGGTGAGTTAGGATGCATTTCCAGCTCACTCTTCACTCTGAGTTAAAAGTGAGGACTTAAATGCAAAGTGAAGTCATGCCAGTGATTCACACACTAAGTATCCTTTTTGCTAGATATCTTGCTTCATTGTTGAAGCCGAGTAAGTGAGGTTGCATTTAAATTGAATGGAATTCACCTAGAAAGCCAGTAGAGTTTCAAATGTAGTGTTCATTTGGGTGTTAGCACACTTCTGTAGAGAAGGCCTTGATGATCAAGATGAGAAGGCAGTTATCAGTGTAATTGGGAGAAATGCTGGAGGTTTTTTAACCTTATTTGAGTGCTGAAAATAAGATGTACTGCTTTTTATGTTAAATGATATGTTCTGTTTTTGTTATCCCTGTTGGTTGGCTGTTCCTTCTGGATGTTAGATAAAAAGCCATTTAATTTAGAAAATTCTTTAGCTTCTAGACTTTTAAACACATGATTACCTGTCACAAAATTGCCAAACCCCTCAAAATAATATTGGATTACATATTGTAAGTAATTATTTTGACAGCAACAGTTTTCTCTCATTCCAGTCATT